TTGATGCAGCGCAGCTGAGGGGCAGAGTTCAGCATCCCAATGCTGCCCAGCAGGGACGTGTTCATCTGCAGGGACACCGCGGTCAGGCGCCTGCCCTGGGGCTTCCACCCGGAGCTCCTCGTCCCCGGAACACCGCGGCTGGGCCTACAGCAGGGCTTACCCAGGGGTGTCACCGGGGCCAAGGATGGTTTGGCTGGAAGGGACTCGAAAGGTCATCCAGTTCCAGCCCCTGACATGGGCAGGGACACCTTCTGCTAGCCCCATCCAACTCATCCTCGAACACTTCCAGCCCCATCCAACCCGTCCTTGAACACTTCCAGCCCCCCGGAACACCGCGGCTGGGCCTACAGCAGGGCTTACCCAGGGGTGTCACCGGGGCCAAGGATGGTTTGGCTGGAAGGGACTCGAAAGGTCATCCAGTTCCAGCCCCTGACATGGGCAGGGACACCTTCTGCTAGCCCCATCCAACTCATCCTCGAACACTTCCAGCCCCATCCAACCCGTCCTTGAACACTTCCAGCCCCCCCAATCTGGCCCTGAACACTTCCAGCCCCTCCAATCTGGCCCTGAACACTTCCAGCCCCTCCAACCTGTCCTCAAACACTTCCAGCCCCATCTCACCTGTCCTCAAACATTTTCAGCCCCTCCAGTCTGGCCCTGAACACTTGCAGGGATCTGTGAGGCTCCATCCTTGCAAACCAGGCCAAGCGCTGCTGCTGCCAGCTCCATCTTTAAAAACCAGATCATCTGACCCTAACCTTTCTGTGCCCTTTCTCTCCTGCCTCTCCAGACCTTTCTGCTCACGTGCACCCCTAGGACTTGCAGCCCCAGGGACCCATAGATCCTCCAGGAGCCTCTGGCTGATGCCAGGCTCCCCTGGCAGGGAGCAGATCACAGCACCCCACACCACACCACTGACATTTCCACGATCTAAATCATCTTGAGTAATAACCCTTTTAAGATGACTAATGCTCCTGATTTTCCTGCATTAATAATCATGCCAACCGGGACACGGAAGGGAAAAATCACCAGAGCACGAGGTCACATCTGGAAACCGAATGTGGAGGATGTTTAACCCTTCGTGTTTGGGTGGGAAGGGATTTAAGTGGTTTTTCCCTCCCCAGAGCACGGAATGCATACAGAGCTGTGTGGATCAGTCTGTGCTGTGGGGCTGATGTGTCCTCACCTGCCAGAAGCAGAGGTGGCTGTCAGAGTTGGAGTAGGTGGCGAGGTACCGTCCGTCGGGGGCAAAGGCCACGGCAGTGATCGGTCCCTTGTGGCCATGGATAGTCTGGAAGAGAACAGGGATGTGGGGGATCATTATCCATCACCACTGTGGGGCTGAACAGGCTTTCCCTTCTCCAAGGCCCCGGAGAACCAAGGGAGGCTGTTCCCAGCAGTCCTGGGGTCAGGACGTGGTGCCCTCAGGGAGCAGGTGAGGGAAGCCCAGATCTCTCTGACAGGACCAGCACAGTGTGGGCTCAGAGACTGAGGGACCTTAGTTAATCAGCTGATCCCACGTTTAGCCGCATCCTCCTCAGCACTTAACCAGCACCAACACCTGTCAATAAAAGAGGTTTGGTGACCCAAAGGTGGGAAATCAATAGCAGCAGCACACGTGTTGCTCCTTTTACTCCTGGAGTGTGTTCCAAGAAGTGCAAATCCTTCAGGGAATCCAGCTGCTTTGTTATTTAAAGGAAGTGCCTCTCTAATTGATGCTAATCCTTTCCAGCCAAGATTTCTCTGGTGTGCTCAGCTGGTGTTTTCCAGGAGGAAGTGAAGCAAACCCAAACCACTGCTGCTCACTCCAGACACCCCGAGATGCTCCAGAGCAGTTATATTCATGATGAAAATGATACACACAAGGAAAATGATGGAGAAATCTGTGGGATGCCAGTCTGGAAATGCCGTAATTCCCTGCGACACGGACGGTGGGACCAAGTGCAGCTGTTTCCAGCTTCCCTCTGCCCAGGTGTCAGTGGGAAGAGGATTTTCCTGGGGGACTGTTGGACTCCTGCCCCTGCCCCTGTGGCTGTCCTGTCCCACAGGATACACTCAGGCCATGACAACCCCATTCCAGCACCATATTTAAGCACAGCATCTTTTATTCTGCAATTAAACTTGATTAGGCCAAGCCACTATTCATTCCAAATGGAATATGAAATCATTTTCTGCCTCCTGTATAAATAAAGATCTGCCAAGGCATCCAGGGCTGAAATGGAATCAGCCCTGCACAATTCAATTACTGCTGGGCTCGAGTTCTGGAAGGACCCAGCACCAGGCGCGATCGATCCCAGCCCGGCCTCAGGAGCAGATTTTGCTTTGAAATCACCCCCAAACCCTCCTGCTTCTCTTTAATCTTGCTGTGCAAATGAGCCAGGTTTTAGTACAAAAATTACAAGTAGGCCTGAAACGAAGCTCTAAATATTTATGATGAATGCCAAGACTGGATCAATAGAAATGGAATATTTCAGTCTCTCCTTATAGACCCAAATACAGTCCTGGAGGGAAAGGAAGTCATTAAATAGGCTGCATGGAGCAATTAATTAGGGAGTTTTGGGGCCAGACTCTGTTACCCAGCGAGACTTTACCTGAGACCCTGAATTCCTGGGCTCCAGGAACAGCTCCAGGACAGTAGCAGCAGTTCCTGCTGCTCACCTGCACCCCCAGGAAAAGCCCCAAAATGTCAATTAATTCTCCTGGATTATTCCATTAGGATGGATGGACAATCACCTGAAACCATTTAAAGGCTGTTAAGGAGCTCTCAGAAATCAGTATTTTCCCATCATCTCAGAAGGGACAATCAGGTATCCTAAAATCCAGTTACCTGCAATCCCTGGTCCCTGACTTGGTGTTCAGTTGGACACCAGAGTGGCACAGGATTGTTATCTCCTGAGCCCCTCAAGGGGCCAACCTGCCCTTTGTGCTCAAGGCAGTGCCTGGCACAGCCCTGTCTGTGGGGCTGGGAAACAAAAGCTGCTTTCCAGGTGGAGCTGCTGCTCTCCCCAACTGCTTTCCAATTCCCTGTGAACCATCAATTATCTTTATCAAATCACAGGATCTCATCTCAGCCCCTGATCAAGATGGAGCCTTATTTGAGCAGGGCTGCAGCGCTATCCGTATATCAAGGCCGGGGCGAGGGAAAGGCTGGGAAGGGATCAATAATCATCATCAAATCCTGCTCCACGGCTTGGGAGGGTGGAAGGTGCTGATGAAAGCTCGACCTTTTTTTTTGGGCAGCTGATAAAGCTTAACCTCTGCAATACCTGAGAACTAGGACTCGGCTCAGGGCAGCTCTGCATACTATTAGAAGCTCTGAGTGCTCCAAATCCTGCTGGGAGAGACCCTCCTGGCATCAAATCCCTCTGGGATGGAACACACAGCCAGACAAGGGCTGGGGGGGGGTGGAGAGACCCTCCTGGCATCAAATCCCTCTGGGATGGAACACACAGCCAGACAAGGGCTGGGGGGGGGTGGAGAGACCCTCCTGGCATCAAATCCCTCTGGGATGGAACACACAGCCAGACAAGGGCTGGGGTGGGGTGGAGAGACCTTTCTGACATCCTGGGTCCTCCTCAGGTGTGGAGGGACTCGGCCCCTCCAGGAACTCCTCCTGCAGAGCCTTCCCCTGCCATTCCTGCCTCGGGATACTGTGTTTCTAAGGGTTTAAAGTATTCTGGTCACAAACCCATTGCTTCTGCAGCAATGGAAAATGTGCATGGATTCAACAGCAAATACAGACATATATTTCTGCAGTTATGCCAAAGTTTAGTTATCTTTTTTATGGAATTCTAAGCTTCAGAACAGAGTTCCTGGAACACAGGAGGAGGAATATAGAAGGGGAATGAATATAGGGGGGAAATACCCAGGGAAATACAGAAGGTTATTGCTGTGGTGTGGGGTGGAGCCCAAGTGTGGGTCCCTTAGGGAGAGGGTCCCTAAGCCACAAGGGGGAGAGACAGAGCCTGATCAGCACCTACAACACCTTCCTGAAAAACAGACTGAACATGAGCTGGAAGGAAAAAGCACGACCCAAAAAATGTTTTTCAGGAATCCACACAGGTATTTGTCTCTGAATTTTGGTAATAGAAGGAAATTAAACCCTGAGCTTTTCTCCAGTGACACATCTTTTTCACTACTCCATCCTCAAGTTATTCCAGCCCAAAAATCTGCAGGTGTGAGAAATCACTTCAGAAATCAGATCTGGAAGGAGGAATCTCTATCCAGTAGATGGTATTGCCCCCCAGAATTTATCAGGAGAATGTTTATATCCCATGAACAGTCACTAAACCTGCAGAGGACCTGCCCTGATTATCCTGGAGGTCCTTCAGTCACCCCCATGTTTTCCATGGCTTGTGTGGAAGTTTATTAAGAAGGGCAAGGAAACAAAGATTCTCCTCACCATGGAGAACCATTCAGAAATTTTGGGGCAATAAACCCAGACCAGGAAATAAACCCTGAGGTCTTCCTTATCCACCCAGTGCCTCCCAGGGAACGGAGGCAGCAGGACACCGTGTCCTCTGAGTCCTTCACTGAGTATTGATCCCTGTGGGGCTCTCCACAGTGTCCCAGCAGCTGAGCACACCAGTGGCTGTGGAAGCTGCTGCTCTCTCCTCACAGGGAGCCCCAGATGTGCTGTGTGTACCTGGCACTTCCCGGTGCGGATGTCGTAGAGAGCCACCGACCCGTGCCGCGCTCCCACCGCGATCCGGTGGCTCCGCTCGTAGTAGCTCACCATGTAGAACCTGTGGGGAGCACGAGGAGCAGGGTGAGACCTCACCTGCCTGCAGGATGGCACAGCTAAACACCAGACTCCAATCCCTGGGGATGGCATTGCCACTCCTCTTCCCGAGGTGTGAAAACACCAACTGCATTTCCAACCACGTTGGATTTTACAGTTAAGTCTTTCTGCACCAAAACATACTGGAATTATCCGCAATCAGTCTAGAAAAACATGTTGTTGAGCATATTTATGGCTTCAAACAACAAATCTTCCACTGATTTATCTATCCTCAGGATTCCCAGAGTGCCATAGCAACTGCTCGCTCGCAGGTATGAGACATCCTACTGTGCAGGATGGCAGCTGGCAGGGAAAACAGGATGGAACGTGGAAAAGCACAGTAAGGAATAAAAATAAGGAAGAAGATCACTAGTTTTCGTGCAGGAAGGAGGGAAAAGGCAGCATCCCTGAGGCACTCAGCTGTCCTCCCCCTCGGCCTGAGGAAGAGCACACCTGGATGGTTCTGCCCTGATGGCTGTGCAGGTGCAGCAGGAGGAGCACTGGGATATCAAAAGAACTAACAGCAGCTGGTGGCCAAGTGCTTCCATTTGGGATCTCTCCAGAGATTCACCCACTTGCTCCATCCTGAAGGCAGTTTTGTCAGGGGGTGCTGCCTCACTTCTACAGGGCCCATGAGCAGGAAATCCCACCAGGATCAGAAAGAACTTTGAAATACCACATGGCTATAAACATACAAGAGGAACAGGGAGATTTTTGCACTGATTCTCACTTATCCCTGTCCCTGTGCTTTAAGGAAAGGCACTCAAAGCATGAGGCAGGAGGAGGATCACCTCCATCAGAATCCAACCTGGCAACAGGATAATTTTTCTTTCCTTGGAACTACTCAATATTGTAACAGCTTATTAAATTAAAACCAAAGGGCTAGCAGGTGATTATTGGGATTTATTGGCTGGATCAGTTTAAGAGGATAACTGGGATACTTACCCAAGTTTAAACACACTGGAAATGTTCCCATTTTATCAGTCACATTTTACTCCTTGTTGCTTTATGTGGACAGTGTCACCCAAAAGGTTGTTCCACTCTTAACTGCAAAACACATTCTGCTGGTGCCCCTGAAATTCACCTCCCAGTGCTCCTGGGGGAAGAGCTCACCTGCAGATGGCTGGGAAACACTCCTGGAGACCCTTTTTCTTAACTAGAGATCCTTCCAGGCAGTACATGATGATGTCCATCACCTTGAGAACAAAAATCAGAATCAGCTGACAATCTGTATTTTATGTTTCACAACACAAGTTCCAAAGCTCACCTTGTTCCACCCCCTCAGGGACACCTTCCAGCAGACCAGGGTACTCCAAGCCCTGCCCAACCTGCCCTTGACCTCTTCTTGCTTGGGATTTCTCCCCAGCAATGCAATCTAAAGTCCAAGACACGAGCTGGGTGGTATAAACCAAATCCTCCCCACACCCAGAAAGTCCACACAGAGAGAATATCTAGGATTCAGCTCCAAGCTGACACATCACTCCCTGTCCAGCCCAGGACAGACTCACCTCCACCAGCAGGTCCACGACATCAGTTGGCATCTTCTCAATGAGTATCTCGATGACCCTGAGGATCTCTCCCTTGGCCCTGGCCAGGGTGGTGGTGTGGATGTTCTGCTGTGACTGTGTGTTGGCTGCCAGGGCAGTGTGTCTGTGCACCTGTAGGGAGCAGGGACATGGGTGGGGAGTCATTCAGGCTGCAAAGCCCTACAACATCATCAAGTCCAATCATCCACCGGTACCGGATTCACCACTAAGCCACGTCCGTGGGCTCAGTGAAGCTCCAGCTGGGCCTGGGATCACTTGGAGGATGTTCAGACAGACCATGCTCAGCCCACACCAACCTCCCAGCCCTATCCTGTCCTCCTCAGCTTCCAAAGCCCAGGGATAAGTCTCCATTCCACTGAAATCCCTGCTTAGGGGGGCAGAGACTTTCCACACGGCTCTGGAAACTGGTACAGCCAGGACAGTTAAGGCAGACACAACCCCTGGGCCTCGGTGCACAAAATGGGGGATTTGGCCGTGCAGGCACGCAGGGAGGAGGGTCTGGGTGTGGGGCTGGGGTCCCTGCTCACCTCCTTGGCGATGGTGGTGATGAAGGCAGGAGGTCTGGCCGTGGCGATGAGGGACAGCGCGTGGCGAGCGGAGCGGGCAGAGTCGGCCGCAGGGCTCAGGGGCAGCCCCATTGTGATGCTAAACGGGCCCAGACAAAGGCAGGGCAGGAAGAAAAGGAGCATTAGAAATATAGAGTGAAAAGATTAGAACCAGCTTATAATGTCAGTTCAAGGTCACCGGGAGCACTCCGACAGTTCCAATATAATGGACTCCCAACAATGAGCAGTGATTAGGAGTCAGAGTGTTCCAGCATCAACCCCAAATCGAATAATTAACCATGAAGATTGAAAACAGTAAGTGCATCTGTCCAAAGTGGGGAAAAGGCCTTGTTAACAAATTATCTGTATGTGCTGAATACATATCACCCCTCGGAGGGCGAGGTGAGCACACAGTGTCTGCCCGAGGATTTATGGTTTATTCTTCCACCGTGGTTTAAACACAGCCTGAAAAATCCCCTGGTCAGAGCAATTCCCCTTCATCCACTGCTTTGCCTTGCTGTGACAAGAGCAAGAAGCAATAAGGCAGTTAAGTACCCAAGAACTACATAAGCAATGTAGAAGGCTGTACATGCCCTGTGATTATCCAAAAATTCTCCCAAACACAGAATCTTGGGATCACAGAGTGGGTTGGGTGGAAAGGGACCTTAGAGATCAGCTCATCCCACCCCTTGTCATGGGCAGGGACACCTCCCACCAGCCCAGGCTGCTCCCAGCCCCATCCAGCCTGGCCTGGAACACTCCCAGGGATGGGGCAGCCACAGATTCTCCACACAACCTGTTGAAGAGGTTCCTTCTTCCGCTTCCCAGAGCAATTCTGCTGATTCCTTGGGAAAGGAGCAGCAGGAGTTTACAGCTTATTCTCCTTTCCCCTCCCTCCCCATCTTTGTACAAACTAAACCTCCCAAGTATGAACCCCAAGAGGTCTAACCTTTGGGGATGAACTGGGTGAGCAGAGGAGGTACAAACACCTGAGCTTTGCCTAAGAGCTCAGACAGTCCCTTAATCCAGCAGGGCAACAAGGAACCCCACTCTTTTTCCTGGTCAACAGCTGACTTTTTTGCTTACATACCTATAACAGCAGAAGCCTGACATAAAAGCTCCCTCCTGGAACACCAGGAGAGGAGCAGGCAGCTGTGTGCAGCGATGGTGTGCACGGTGCATCAGGCACACTGAGGGGAGCACAGCAGGGCTCTGCTGGCCAAGCTTCACCCCTCACACTCTGCTGCTCCCCCTCCCCACCCTGGGTCTGCTGGGGGTGTAACAGGCCATTTTCAATCTAAACCTCGTTAGGGATTAATAAGCAAACACTTTCGCGCTTATTCTGCAATTCATCATGAGGAAAATTGTGTCAGGCTCCTCACCCATCCCTTAGGTTATTCCTGGCCAGACTAATCTTCCTGACAGCCAAGGAGGGAAGGGACGTGCTGAGGAGCTCTGGCCACTCCAAGTTGGGGCTGACAGGGATTAGGAGAAGCTTTGGGAAGAGCAGATGTGTTGCTGCCTTTGGTCACACTACAAGGAGGGGTTGGAATTCAGACCAAAACCAATGTAATCCAGTTTGTCCATACTTCTCCCCACAACACATGGCAAGGATTCACTTTTTACATCTTGGGAAAATTAAACCTTACCTGAAACGGGTAATATCTGCCTTAGAATAAAGTCAGAACCCTCAGCACCTCCATGGGTGGATGATAAAACACATCCATGGGATTAAAACACATCCATGGAATTAACACAGCCTTGGAATTAAAACACAGCCTTGGGCAGCTCCTTATCACAGGTGGCATTTCAAACCGTGTGTTGCCCACAAATAT